AGCTCGCCCTTCAGTATGTGAGTACAGTACATCATGGAATCAGGTAAGATTGAATATTATAGTCACGAAGCAAAAGCTGCAGAAGATCCGTCAGATAAACCATACGTAAACGGGGCGTAAATTCAAGCGATGGAATCTTGAACGCAAGTGCCGGACTTTGCCTGCCCGGGGTGGTGGTCGGTCGGGCGCGCCAGCTTGTAAAGGCCTGTCAACCGCTGTAGAATATAAACACCTCTCCGAAAAAAAGGCCTGGCACAGAATCACCTTTTAAATGCATTTCTAAATAAGTAATTAGTCTCTTATCATCCTTAAATCCTTAATTAATGCGTGTGTGTGTGTGTACATAATTGGCAGGCGCACATACGCGTACACGGGGGTGCACATGCATATTTGCAAAACAGCTTGCCAACAACCGCCAGACCCCACAGCAGCGGCGACCACGTGACCGACCGCGCAACATACGCCTGAATCCCAGTCAGATTGCAGGGAAGCCTCTGCCAGCGAGCCACCTTCATGCGCGATAAACAAAACTCGATCCTCGACAGCGCGGCCGTTCACACACATACTCTCTCTGCTTGTTGCCTGGCTCTTGTTAGTTTTTATTTATTTATTCATTCATTTTATTTTAAATCATTATTATTATTATTATTATTATCATTATTATTACTATTATCAATATCATTATTATTATCATTATTATTACTATTATCAATATCATTATTATTATCATTATTATTACTATTATCAATATCATTATTATTATCATTATTATTATTATTATTATTATTATTATTATCATTATTATTATTATTATTATTATGCTGGTGCGACGGGCTGTCTGTTTCATTTTGTATTTTAATTACCCTCTGTGTGCAAGGAATGCCCGGGGTCATCTATATTTTTTTCTCTCTTTGTCTTTGTCTGTCTCTCTGTCTGTCTCTCTGTATCTCTCTCTCTCTTTCTCTATCTCTCTCTCCCTCTCTCTCTCGTATTGTAAGTCGACATCAATGTGATCTTAAAATACATTTTGCAGACCCACGGTGGGTTTTCTCCTTCTGCTGCTGGGAAATATTACCGCAAATATATTCAGATCATGACCTCTCCCACCTCTCCCCCCCCCCTCCTCCCCTTCCTCTCCCTGTGCAGCTTCTTATTAGTTTTGCAATTATTGCTGATAAGACTCTCTGGCAACATCACTCGAGGGGCCTAATCTCCGTTGTAACTTTCATTGAAAAGCAGTTGATAGCATTTGATGTTATTGCAACTGTTAACAAGAAATAGTGGACTATATATATATATATATATATATATATATATATATATATATATATATATATATATATATATATATATATATATTATATATATATATATATATATATATATATATATATATATATATATGTATGTATATATATATATATATATATATATATATATATATATATATATATATATATATATGTATATGTATATATATATACATATATATAGATAGACGGATAGATAAACTGATAAATAGACAGATGAATAGATAAATAAAAGTACATATATATATCGGAGAGAGAGAAAGAGATACATAGATAGATAGGAAGGTACAGATATAGATAGACAGCTATATAAATAGATAGATAAAGAAACGTATCGTATCATTCTATCGCAAATCATTAATGTTAAATTCAATGAGGTAGTTGAAATAATTTTGCATAACGTCTATAAATAATTAGTCGCATTATTGTTAATATAAACTTTAATCTCTGTTTGGCTTCAGTCCCACTCGGTATCAGGTCAACTCTCGCTTTCACTTTCATTTGACATTCATCAATTACTGTCACTCAAACATGCACACACAGTCACTCACTCACCGACGCAGAACAAAACGACGACGATTGCGATTTGCGAAGTTCTAGCTTCGCCCGGGCCTTCGGCTATGGCCCAGCCTGTGTCAGCTTTTTAGGGCTGACTCATTTCATTCTATGACACTCGGTGCTTACCGTGGCGGTGGGATTACCAGCAGGCGCTCCTGCTGCCATGGGGTAAGGGAATCGCAAAGTCTCTTTACCAGGCAGAACAAAAGACACTGAAACCTTCATTAATAGGGTTTGCTGCTGTCGTCGTTGCAGGCATACTTATCTCTTTGCCCGCGATTTTGTCAGTCGTGATGTGTGACTCGTACATAAATTAGTATTTTACATATTTTCCTTTCTGTTTCGAAATTTGGTTCAAGTAATTCCTTGCGGATTGCCAATTGTCGTTTCCCTTACGTTATTTTCGTATCTATTAAGAAACGGTTTGGTAGTTCAAGATTGTCCTTGCGGACGCTATCGCCGTCTCCCTCTCCTATTTTTAACCTTAACTTTGTGAACGTAAAACACAAAATGAAAATGGCATATAACACCTCCTCTTCTCTGTTGTCTTTCTTTTCCCTTACTATCTTGGCCCTTATGTGTATAAATCTGGTTCACGATATCTGAAACGGCACCGAAGGAGGCCCTGCTGCAGAAACGGTCACCTTCGGAAGCTATTGAAATACGTCATCGGAAGATCGCCAGAAGCCTGGAGACCAGGATGTTCGTCAGAGCAGGTACTAAGCCGCCCCAAGACGTGGAATGGCGCCACCTGCCAGGACGCCCGTAGATCCAGCGAATGACCAGGAACTCGCCAGCGCAGACACCCGTAGCCCCATGATGCTGTGGATGGGCGCCGCCTGCCTGGACGCCGCAGATCCAGTTAAACTCCAGGAGCTTGTCAGCGTAGGTATCAGCCGCCCTGCGATGCCGAAGAGGACGCTTCCTGCCGGACGCCCGTTGATCCTGACGAAGATTACAAGGACGTCTGTACGAGCCGAGTAGGACCTGGAGAGATCTGCGAGACATGCATTGGGTGAGTAAGCCGCCGAGTTAGACCTGGACGTGGACTACAAGGAAGTCTGGGCGAGTCAGAAGTCAAGGAGGACCTGCGCGAGACCTCCGAGGACGTGAGGATGTCGAGGACGGACGGATTTACCAGGGACTAGGACGAGGATGACAAGGACGAGCAGCCACGGAAATGCACGAGAGATCGAGGACAAGCAAGTTAGGACCAGCCAAGTTGGGTCACCCTTGAGGCAAGTCCAAGCCGCCTCGGGGGCGAGGCGTTAGTAGGTGGCCGAGCAATATACTGTGTAGTAAGCAGTATAGAACACGTGGCAGTTCGTTAGCCACGTGAGCATACCCACACTGCCCAGAAAGGAACTATCGTTCCGGTGGCGTGGGATACCTCCCACGCAAAGGTCGGATACTTAAGGCCCGCGCTTGACCCATCACCATTCCAGCCACAGGATTCAACTTGGAAGGACTCTCCTCTATTCTCTCCCTGTGGTGAACTAGCCTTTCCTGGCTAATTCAGAGGGAAGGGAGGATTGTACTGGCTAGGGAGACCGACGGGGTGCAGCGGGTAGCGCTAAGCCAGCCGATAACGGGAAGATAGCCACCGTGATACCGTAACGCGTAACGGCCACCATCATGCCGACAACGCCAAGAAGGACACTATGATGCCCGGAGCTCTGTGGGTGGCACCATGCCAGCCGACAGTGCAAAGGGGGTCACCGTGATGCCTCAATTTTGCCGAGGGTGTTATTAAAGAGATTGACTGGAGCCACCCCTCGGCAAACATCACCTCGGCTTCTACGTGTTACCGGACGCTTCGGCGTCCACCCCTCGCTGCTGCCGCGATGCTATTTGCTTGCTCTGCATTTAGCTTCGTGCCCTATAGCCTATGC